TTTTAAACAAATGTGAGTTAAGTTTAATTGAGCTACAGTGCGACTCATAGATCGTGATAATAGTATTTCAATATTTACAGGTTAAATGAAAAAAAAAAAGAAGACAAAACCACCGACAGCCACAATCCAACACACAAGTTTGGAGGGTTATGGTGAAAACAACAAAATTCAACCCAAAGACAACTCAAGGTTCCCAAAGTAATGAGCGGATGACCGGTGCATGCTAGTGTAACTGTCCAGCGGTCTCACACCTGTGTCAGGAGTACTGTACTCGGGCCACCAACCTCCCATGTTCTCTCCCTCCATCGGGGTTGTGCTCTCAGAGGTGCTCCGCCGGTCCTGGAATGGGGTGTCCAACAAAATCCTCGAAATCCTCCTGCAAGTGGGATAAACGTAACTGAAGCAGGGCAAAGAGAATCTATAGAGCATCAGTTCCTTACAGGCAGATGATCGTGGTACTGAACTTCTCAACTCTCAAAAAGAAAGTGTATTTCCCAAAATACTAACTATTCCTTTGATAGAATAAGTGCCCAGTCCATATGAAAAAGCAGACCATCCGGTATCTTTTTGTTGCAATTATTGTGTTATATAAATTGGCTTTTTATTGTGTACCTTCTCTGAAAGACTGCAATTCATTAGCTACCTTTAATTAATGTAAGCTGCATTTCTGGTAGGAAAGTGAAACAATCGATGCAACATAGTATCGCGATATTTTCCGTGGCAATACTGTATCGATACACGGATGTCATGGTCGATCTTTATTATATAAATTGTACTTTTGGTCCAATAATAATGAAATCATTGCTTTTTCAGTCCACGAGAAAAAGAGTTTTCATTTGGGAACAAAATTTTAAGTTGAAAAAAAGGTAATAAATAATAATATCGTATTGTGACATAAGTATCGTGATAATATCGTATCGCAGGGCCTTTGGTGATTCCCACCCCTACTAATACACAATTGCTTCCTGTATGAGTAGAAATGATCTTCAGATTATTATTATCATTATTGTTTCAACTGAATAAACTTTGTAACTGCTTCCAAAATGTTACAGTTAAGTTTAAAATTACAATCGACACCCAGAAAGTGTTGACTATGAATCTTACTTCAGCACAGCAGGCAGAATACCTTTGGCTTGAATTCTGAAAGGGTAGTAAATGTTGTGTAATAAATGTTTGGTGCGGTTAGCCGTTAGTTGCAGGAGATGCTCCTCCTCTCTATGCCATCGGAAACATCACACACATATAAGCTTTTGACAAACGTCTGAAAGTATGCTGGTATTACCATGGCACAACCACAGTAATGTCAGCCTGTCCACCTACCTGCAGGCTTCGTTGGGCCGCGCTGCCAGCTTCTTGGCCCTGTGTTGGCCGAGCCCCCGAGCTTGAGCCAGCTCCTCCTCCAACTCCTGCTGCCTAGAGGCCAGTGCTGGATCAGAGCAGCCAGGAAAGAACCAGTCATCCTCAATCAGTTTTGTGCCACAGGGAAGGGGAAGGATGTATTTATGGATGGGTAGTGGGTATAAAATGTGCAGGACAGAACGATGGCAGAGTGAAAGAAGACATTTTTTGAAGACAGGACGACAGAGATGGAGAATAGATAAGTGTGTTGGCGTCTAGGTGGTGGTTTGATGAAGAGTGAGATGAGACACGTTCAACACTACAAATGAACTTTGTAACTAGATAACAGTTTCATCCAAAAGCAACAATAGTGACGACTATAGAGAAGTATGGAGACAGAGACTGAGAGAACCAAGGATGGAGAAAGAGAAGTTACTCAAACTCTAGATACGTATGCACTTTTGTATTTGCATAAGGTCTGTGGACCTGAGAAACACTTCAAAGGCAACATTCTGGTCAGAGCCATGCACACCTAATTTGCATAGCAAAGGAAAACAGCATCCAAACATGTGGGAGACAGGAAGCAGAATGGCTGTGGGAGGAAGGAGAGGGTCCATTTTCATGAGTCACACTTAAAGCCAGTGTTTCACCACTGTTTCTCCAACAGGGAGATCAGACAGTTATTCAGAGTAACTCCGGGCAGGTACAGGTCTGAGGGGATTCTTGCAGTGCTCTTCACTTTCATTTAGCAGCATAGGATGCAAGCAGGGCAGTGCCAAATTGATTAGACTAAACAAACTGTTCCCATCTGTTTGTGATAACAGGCTGATTGGGGGGGGGGGGGGGGGGGGGGGGGCAGCTCAATGCAAAGGATGGGGCAGAAAAAGAAAAGGAGTTCAGTGGTTAAGCATAGTCAGTGTGGGTTCAGTGTATAAGCAGAGAGGGACTTCTACAGGACTACGCACATAATAAAACATTCTTATAACTGTAACTACTAAAACACCATTCATGTCGAGTAAACAAGTCTGGGCAGATTAGAGCCAGTCTGCCTCATACTGCACCTACACTGACCACAGCAGAAGGGATTAAATAGGAGGATGTAAGAACAGGAGAACATGAGTATTATTCATGAAGCCAAGCGTGTTAGTCCTCTGCTGGTTTCCAAGAACGCCGTGCTGCACAAGCGTTTGACCTCTGATGTTTTAAGTGAGACACTTAAAGCATACAGCTTATTCAGACATTCATAAGGTGAGATCAGAGAGCTGAGCCATACGACCCTTTATAATGATTAATGCAATCAAATTCTCAACAGGGAAGCCAAACAATCTTTTTCTTCTTTCCCAAAATGAAATTGCAAACATATGTGTCGCCTTAGGACTAACTCTCCCTTATATATATATTATATATGGGTTTGGTTATAACAACATAATGCACACCGTCAGTTTGAGCTGCCCGTTGCCGGCTTTGTGGGCAACACAGAGAAGCAAACGCTTAGCAGGAACTGATGCTGGTGAAGTCAACATGTCTTATTGTTTATAGCAACTGATGCTTGCTATCGTCACCCTAAAAGCCACATCAGAGAAACTCTTGGATCACACAACTCATTAGTTTCCACTTAAACGTGTAAACAGTATTTCCAGCAGCACTTTAATGCATCACCAACCACATAAGCAAGTTAGAATATGTGCTTCCCATAGTCACTCCACCTGAATTACACCACCAAAGAAACTTTCACCAATAGGAGAGCTTGGATTGAATGCAAAGGTGAAAAAGGACCGTCTCTACTAACTAGGTGCAAGGACATGTTTCAAGAAAGGTTTATAATTTCCTGTCAGCACAAGAAGAATGGGGGACACAGCTCCGTAAAATTAACTGCTGAAAAAGTGTTAATTACTGTGAGGGCTCTGCGTTCAGCTGTGAGGCTTTTGAGTCTCATTATTCACACTAAGTTCATTAACATCTACTTCACTTTGTCGTTTCAGTAATTTAACAGTCAGTGGCACACACAGCTAATCAAAATCAACAGCCATAATTATATAAAAGGGACCATTAGCCTTTTCATTATGAGCACGACTTTGGCTTTCTTTTACTTAAATTAATGAAGAATATATTTTGTGCATTACTACTTTTCACAAAATAGCTTGATGTTCGAAGGGACAAATGCAATTTGTCTGAGTAATAAAAGATTTATTATTGTGTTATTTCCTGCCAGTAAGCTCTCATAGAAGATCCAAATACCATAACTTTAATTTTGCTCCTACAGTAACTCGGACCACTACAAGAGAACACACACACGCTTTGATTACTTGTTTAATGAAATGTATGGGGCTGATTGTTCTTATGTTGTATGTATGATGCTTTGGCAATATTGTTGTTACACAATCATGCCAATAAAGCTAATTTGAATTGAACTGAGAATACTACATTTGAAAACACCTGGAGTGTGCCAGCTTTATCAGTAATGACTGAAGCAATTACTGTGTGATGAAGTGTACGATTACTTCTTCTCTATCTTTTGGCCTATTGGCCTTCAAACAAAGACATTCTTTCTCAATATATCGTTACACACATTAGTTCTCATCCCAGAGTTAGTGAAAATCTAGCCATCCTACAACAAAAGATAAATGTTGTTTAACTGATGGATTATTCCAAAATATTTTAGTGGCCACACCAGAAATCAAACGATTGAAAGAAGGAACAGAAAGACAGAAAGGGGTGAAAGAATGGAACAACACAGGAGAGGAGAAGAAAGGAAAAACAAAATGGCAGACTCTAAGGTGCAGCCTGCCACTGTACTGCCTGTAGCTCACCCCAGCAAAGGTGAAATTCAGGGGAACTGCGGGCAGTACAGCGAGCACGAGCTGCACTGGAGGTTTAGAGGAGCCTGCATGCACAAAACTGATGGGAAACTGTTCTGTGTGGCTGCTCCCATCCCTGGAGCAGGGGCTGGAGGGGGAGAGTGTTGGGGGGTGGAGGTCCACGAGATGGGAGGTAGCACAGCGTAAAACAAATGCTCCTCGTTAACAACGGTGGGAAAAATTAAGAAAAAGAAAGTAATGTTCAGTCAGACAACAGAGGACTCGTGGAAAACAGTGAAACACAAACTGGCGGTGGGTTTATTGACTCATATCGCTTTCTATTGAGAGGTGTTTAATAACTGATAATTATATCAATTAAAGTGAAGTAAAGAACGGAAAGTTTACTACTGCTGAGTACTTAATACTCTAAACTAGTAGATCTATTTTGCTTGTTTGTGTGCCGTGTTGCATTCCACACAGAGCAACTTGCAGTTATTAAAAGAAAGGGATCAATCACATATTGGTTACTTAAGTTAATGTTTTCATATGAATGAAACTCACTAAGCATGAGCGTGTGTGAGATTTGGCATTAGGCAAGTCTGAGCACGTACAGCAAACCAACATCCATGTGTGATCTTCTATTTAATGTCAACGACAGACCAGGCTTTTCATGAGTCTGCGTCCCCCCCCAGCAGCAACCTTACCCTCTCTCTCCTCCTCCATGTGGCTCATGCGGAGGGACATGGCAGCCTTCTCCTCCTTGGCCCGGTCCCTGGCGCTGACTGCCTCAGCCACCATCTCCTGCCACTCCAGCACCTGGCTCTGAGTGTCGTCAGCACTGCCCGACTCACTTGCCTGTGACCAAAAGGAGCAGAGAGTTACAAGAAATCAACAATGAGCAGGTTTCATCAAGTGTACAGCAAAAGAAAAGGCCTGGATCCCTGACCTGAGAGGCAGCCCTCTTGGTGAACTGCTCCAGGTCTGCTTGTAGCGTCCTCTGTTGCTCCTCATACACCACCAGCTTAGCCTCCAGCATGTCTAGCAGAAAACATCAAACACACAATGTTCATTTTGGCATCAAAGCTACCAATGACATTGCAGATTTAAGACATACAGTGGGAGAGTAAAATTTACAAACAGAATATGGTGCGCTGGTGTTTTCGCTACACAAGCCGCTATGATTTGTTTTGGTACCGTTCTTTGCTTTGAGCTCCTCGTATTGCTCCACTTTCCAGATGTTTTCCTCTCTCTCCTCCTCCAGTGCTGTGATACGACTCCGCAGGGCAGTCAGGTCAGGGGGGGCACCTCCAGCCTAGAGCGGACAAAGTAAACATCTTTTAAATGGGTCAAATCTTTCACCTCACAGACTTTCTTAGAAGAGTTCTGCCTGCATTTTGATGCGTTTTATATTTTTTACTCTGGATAACAAGTAGAGTTTCCTGTAATTCCCTATGAAGCCACATCTCTTTCATCTGACTGGGGATAAAAACAGGGTTGAATTTCAATTAGAAAATAACAGGGCACCTATAGAAAGGAACATAAGCACAACTTTTTGAAGATGAAATCCAAAAAATGTTGACATCTCACCTGGCTTTTCTTTAACTCCTCCTCCAACTGTCTGATCCGAGATTTAGACCAGGCTTTCATTTTCAGGAACTTGGCATCTGATCTGGTGGCTTCATCCGTTTTCTGCTTCGATTGGGCTGCAAAGAGAAAATGGAGAGAAAGTCGGATGAAATGGATGAAAGATGAACATGGTTTCTGAAGAGATCCCACTTATTTACATTTAATAGGGCTGATTGTTTTATTAAAATCGGGTAATTTTACTTCTATTTGTATATTTTACAAAATGGGTAAACATCTGGGTGAAAATCTAAAAATAAGATTTAAAAACTCTGCATCTGATTCAGTGCTAAACGTGGTGAAAAGTGTCCTCTTGATGTGGGTAATACGAGAATTTACTGATGAAGGGCTGTAAAAACGACGAGCTTTCACTCTAATGTATGGTGAACAGTGAGGATGACAAACCCAAATGAAAAACAACCAACCTTCCAGCTCAGCTATCCTTTGTATGGAGGCTAAATCTGCGGGCACGTTTCCACTTGCTGAGGGCTCCTGACTGGCAGGTGGCGCTGTTACCGCAGCCCTCCTCATCTCCTCCAGCTGCCCCAGGAGATCCTGCTGCGTTTGGGCCATCTGTGCCTGATGCTGCTCAGCCATTCGCTGCACCTCCGCCTGCTGCTTCTCCATCAGGTCACGAAGTTGCGCTCGCATCACATGCTTCTCTGCCTCCATCTTGGATTCCAAGCTCTCTCGTTCTACTTGTAGCCGACGCAGCCGCTCAGCAAGTTCCTGTGGGGTGAAAAGACAATGAAGAGGCAGGACAGGCAGGGGAATGACGGGGAAGATGGAGTTAAGGAATGGCTACTACATATATCAAGGGAGAATATTCTGTAGGCATCATTAAAAGCCAAGCATGTGATCATAAAATATATACCAAGAGGAAACAAATGTTTAAAGTGAAGAGATGTTATTCTGACCTTTATCTGTTGGTCCCTGCCGTCCACCTCTCCCTGGAGAACGTCAATGACCTGGGTTTTACCCAGCAGCACCTCCTCCTTCTCATGAAGCTTCTGTTTTAGAGCCTTCAGAAGCTGAGGAGGATAATACAAAAAAATACAATTACACAGATTCAATGAGACTAAACACAACACATACAGTAACTCCATGTGTTAACCAGAATCACCGGTCTACAGCGGCGCCTTGACTGTGGATCGTTACACTGAACAGAAATAAATCTTTCAGCAGGCGTTACAAACGTATTACAAAGAGATGACAGAAGCTGTTCCTAACACAAGTTAAGCTGAAATGAGTGCAGTCACTACCTGCTCTAAGTCTGCACTGGCATCAGACTTTGCTGCTAACTTGAAGAGCTCTTGTTCATGCATCTGGTTTATCTCCGTCAGCTGGTTATCTTTCTGAATGATGATGTCTTTGAACGTCTGGATCTAAAAACAAACACAGGGTGCTTCATCAGACAGGAGATTGCAAATACAGACAGCAGTATCAAATTCTGCAATAGAAGCATCACTGCTTGCATGCACTTGGAAAAGACGCTCCGGTGCCCCCATTCAGAAATATGCCAGAGTACCAGCTGAGTGCTTTGAAAGCCTACATTTTGTTTGTACATGCTCTCCTTCTGACTGTACTGCTCCTTCTCTGTCGCCAGCAGCTCTCTGAGGCTGTCCGCCTGCTCCTGCAGCAAACTGTAGCGCTCCTCTGCTTCTCCCACCTTCTTGGTCAGGCTCTGCACCAGCAGCTGCAGCTCCTGCATTGCTCCACTGTCCTCTGTCACCTGAGGAGGTAAAGCACAGGTGAGCCTCAATGAGTGGATTTACAACACTCTACAGAGAGAGCAGGGGAAGGTAATAAACATGCATTACTGCCCTTTGGGTTGAACATAAACAAATGAATGCCTGGGCATACCGTAAACTCTTATTATTTCTTCTGTCCTAATCTCACATTGTGTATGTATTGTATTGTATTGATGTTCACACCACATTCTTGTGAGGTGTATGACCTGTTGTTGTGGTGCAGGTGTGATGGGCTGGTCTCCTGCCAACGCTGTTTGCAGGTGGACAATGTAGGCCTCTTTTTCTGCCAGCTTCTTGTCTTTCTCAATCAGCATAGCGTCCATTTCCTCGCCTCGCTGCCGCTGTGACTCGGCGTCCTTCCTCTGGAAGAAATTAATAATGATATTCGTTCAAATTTCAAAGCTTGTGTGTAAATGTATACCTGTCCACCTCAGATAACCATACAAATGTAAGAAAAATAAAATTGAAGATAAAAATAAGCCCAAATAGAATAAAACAGGCCAAACTACTAAATAAAATGCAGTGGCAAACTGAATTGTTTTGAAGCTGGATTTAAAAGAACCGAGCTGCAGCAGACCTCGGGTTTTGTGGGAGTTTGTTCCAGATATGTGGAGCATAATAACTGAACGCTGCTTCACTGTGTTTAGTTCTGGCTCTGGGGACAGAAAGCAGACCTGATCCCGATCTGAGAGGTCTGGACGCACCATAGGGCAGCAGCAAATGATGAGAAATGTATTTAGGCGCTGAACACGCACAACTGTTCACCCGGTGATCCAATATGTCAACCACAACAAGTCACAGACATACCATCAACCACGTAAGCTGACTTCACTAACAAGACAGGAAGTCTGTCCTGATGCGTCCTCTGGGCTTAACAGCCATAACAAAGTATTTGTAATTAATCTTCTACCCGTAAGCTTCTTTGTGACACCGCTCAGTTGAAATAACATAGTTTATATATGAGCTCATGAGGAGAATGAATTTATCTTCTTCGCCTGTAGATACTTTACCATGTTTCCCAGTTCCTCCACTCTTTGTGCAAGCTGATGTTCCAGTTCCTCGACCTTCTTCTTCAGCAAGACAATCTTGCCCCGACTCGCTTGCTCTCCTTCTGATGACCCCTACAGGGAAACAAGACAAGACAACGCTAGAAGATCATGCGTTGGACTATAACTGCAAGAAGATCAGAAACATGACTCAAACAGGATGCTCACATTGCTCTGTGTCAACATATTACCCACAATAACTTAAACCAATAGTACGTGTGTTTTACAGTGACTTTGCATCAGAGCCTTTGTGCCCCCAAGTGGTGAAAATCTCTCACTGCTTAATCTGAATTAGGATTTCAACAAAGTAAAGTTAGAATCACACACATAGTGGTGAGGTTTGGGGAATTTATCTATTAATTGCGGTTCATTTTCACATGTACTGTCACCGTAAATGTGTGTGCGTTTGCGCCAGTACCTTTTTGCTGTGTGTTGGCGTGCCCTGACCTCCCTGCTGCTTCTTCAGCTCCTCCAGCTGTGTGGTGAGGGACGTCACCTTGGCTTTATTCTGGAGACGCAGCTTTGACAATCTGGCCTCACACGTCTCCTTCTCCACCTGCGTCACACACAATATGTTCTTCAGTTTGGTCAGTTAGAAGCAGACACTATTTAAACATTGGAGCAGATGCTACCAAAAAAGATATGACTAATAGTGCGAGATCCATGCTGTATATATCTGACCTATAGCGTGTTCATATTTATACACCTGTCTGTACATATCATATACATATCTATAGTGTATACACCATATTCATACTCCAGCTGTTTGTTCTGTATACGATATCTCACTATTAGCAATACTTGTACTTACACCTGAACTATATATTTTATATTTTTACTTTTACCCTCCCTGCCTACAGTAACTGCTGCACATGCTCATGCTGTAAATATCTTAGTACATTAATTATACACTGTGCATACTGTATATTACCTCTACAGATATGTATAATATATATATATATGCACTTCAACTGCCTGTTGTTGTCTTAGTACCTGTACTAATGATGACCTGTGTGTTCCTCTCTGCACTCTCCTGTAAATGTGCTTCTAAACCAAACATTTACAGTGATGGCTGAACTCTAATCTCACATTCCTGTCTATTATTATTGTGTAGTAGACTTTGACTTGGGAGTTTAATAGTTAACTAGTGATCTCAGTCAGTGACTAACAGGAGCAGCCACTGAAGCATTACAAACTATTTTAGATTAGCCATGTGACCAACTGTGCCTGGCTCAGTCAGATACAAGGCCCCAGAGCGTGCTTCATTTCATTTAGTACCAGGAGAACGGCATCAGCTAAAGCCCACGTCACGTCATAACACATGGAATTAACATATCAGTATTATAAATACACAGAGACTGAAGTAAACAGAGCGCCCCCAACCACAACTGAAGACAATGAACTTTAAACCCACAAACTGACAATGACACTTTCATTTAGATAACATTAAACTGGCAAATGAGACACATACTGAAAACAAAACCAGTGTCATGGTTAAGACAATCACAGAACGAGCGAGTGTTATACAGAGAGTTACACAGTAACTGATGGGCATAAACAACTACAGTATGCTGTACAAATAATTACACAATAATGATGATTTCATAGAGCCAACAGAGCGCTTCAACAGTGCACATAACGTTCTTTATCAACTTTCAGCTGGCATTTACTCCTGTTACTGACTTGTGAAGACAGCGAGGAGATCGTCCTCACCTTAAGTTGGTCATCTTTGGAGCGAAGTGCAGCATCCTTCTCCCGGATCATCTCCTTCAGCTGAGTGACAAGCTGCTCCGTCTGGGTGAGCCGCTCTGCCATTTCATCTACAGCAACCTCTCCAGCAGCAGCAGCACCGTGGGGGGAGCCCGGGCCCTGGGGAGAGACAGGAGAGATGGGGGGCTTGTGACCACAGAGATGGTTTTCAATGCTGCATCAAGTGCACATCCTAGTCAGACAACAAATGAACTTAAAGCAATTTCACTTTCCTCCATAACAATATAATACCTTTTCAATAAATGTTTGATTTAATTAGTTTTGAATCAGAAACAAATTAGCACTTTATATTTCAATTAAGATTTTATTTTCTTGAGGAAAAGGGAGTGAAAAGATTTTTAACTTAATTTTAAGATTTTATCATACTTGTTTAGAAGGTTCTACCTCAGATTTGTAAACTTAACTACAGTGTTTATCATATTCTGACCATAACGAACAGTTTAAAACCACAATTACCTGTCAACTTTCCCTCAGGAGCAAAAAAATCTGCCTCTTAACTTAAAGAAATAATGATTGACATATCGTGATAATTAACGACATCAAAAGAAATTATATTTTTTATCATGATAATATTTTTGGCCATATCGCGCAGCCCTAGCCGATACATAGCCCATCTACTAAGGTCAGTAAAGGTCACCATACCAATCCTGTGTATCAGGTCAGGTGGAACAAGAGACGTAGGAGATAACTCGAGGGTGAGAACTGAACGAGCTAAACTCAATGTTTTGTATTAAGTAAAAAATACGAGCGATTGTATGAATCATTCCTAGCAAGACCTAATAATATAAAGATATATAAGATATATAAGCTGCAGAGAAAATAGGATGGGCATGCGTGGGGGGATTTAAGCTGGAGCAGTGGTCACCCCTCACAGGAAGTGTGAGCTGTGATTGTGTCAAAGCCCCGTGCTCAGCAGTCTACCTAAATCCAGTCTATCTGGAAATGAAACAGACAGCAGAGCTTTGGCTGCACAAGATAGATAACATGAAATGATTCTGTTAACGTCGTCAGTGCTGACTAAACTCAACGACCACTCTGTGACATTTATTTCATTTTAAAGATGTATGAATAGAGCAACACACTTTGTTGTGATTTCAGACACACATTAGCGTTTCTCTTCAGTTTTACAGCCATTATTTTACATCCAGGATTGTTTTAAACGCTTCGATGGAAGCAAGTTGTGAGACATGTTACTCACTCATAAAATATACGATCTTTCTGAACTCAGATGTGTAACTGCGGGATCCGTTACTGCTTACAATGGTTCCTCGATGCCAGTCACCTGACACAGTACATGTGACCATTCAAGTAATGACAAATATGCACATGTGTACTTACTACAGAGCCAGGCGCTCCCTCCTCACCGGATAACCACTTCAGCATGGTTTCAGTTCAGACCTAAAACAAACACACACACACACAGAGTAAATACTTCATTGTGGTGGTCGGATTTGGGCTCTCTAGTATTTCACTGTTTAGTCAGTATTCATTATTTATCAGACCCATTCTGTCTCTATTTTAATCCCCTCCATGCATGGCTAGTCATAAATTCAAACTAGACTCAAGGATGCTGAAACTGCCTATTCCACTGATTTGGTCACTCATCAAACATCCTGTTTCAAATTGAAATTAAATTGTACACAGCAATATAGTCTCAGAATGGTGCTTCACTGCGACACTGACACTTTTATATTGCTGCTGTTGCCTTGTAGCTCGGAGGACCTTACATGTCAAACGATGTATAGCATCAGCAGCAAACAACACAGATGATAAACCACCTAACTCATTTTATGGTTCCCAGGCGGTGGCTGAGCCAAAGAACAGGACTCGTACTGTATTACACAGAGCAGGTCAGCCCTTATAGAGTTGCAGGCAACATAAGACTTCACTCTCTCTCTTACACTGTGTTCCTTCCTTAAAATATTTACAAGCACCCTAGAATAACAGATAATAGATCAAGGCGTACATGCTTTCAGGTCAATTCATCAGGCAACCTGAGCAGCAGGCCAGATGCAGGCCAAGCAGACTGTGTCACTTCACAGCTGGTCGCAGGCTCCATTTCAGCAGCAAAAACAACAACCTTGTTTAAAACCAGACTGACAGGTTTGTCTTGTGCACAAACAACTGGAACGGGCCGGGACTTGAGGCCTGGTGTAAGGTGGAGGGACACTGACAGGGTGCATGATCAGCCGGATTCATTCAGCCCAGCCCACGTGATGCAGGGGAAATCAGGTCAAACTGGTTTTCTCATGCATACCACAGTAAGCTAGTTACCCTAAATGAAAATGTCTGACATATTTCCATCAACTTTTATGTCATTTATTTACACAAAAACAAAAATCCATTGACTTATTTGAAATTAGCAAAACATTTAAAAAAGGAGCAGGTGAACTGTGGAGTAGAAATGTTCCCTGATTGCGTGATGCTTCAAATTCAAATGTTCTCCGAGGAGACACATTCATCACGAACATGTACATAAGAAACTACATAATACTGTTAAAAACCCTGCAGGCAGATGCTAACGCCTGAAGACAGACAACTCTGTTTCTCTTTATCGACCAATCTGCAGCTTTAAAAACGCAGAATATACTGCTGACTGAGCTGGAGAACATTACTATTTCAAACACAACACTGCTAACAAGTCTAGCGTCACTGAAAGTTGTCGGACGTTTTGACATTAGCTAGCGTTAAGTTACTAGCTTGCATCCCCCAAATGTTACTGACAAAACCCGTGCAACCGCTCATTTTAACCCTAAATGTTTCACACTTCTACTTAAAGAAGGCATCGGGGGCTTTGGCTGGCGTCGGAAAATCGGGCAGTTACTTAAACAGACACGAGTTATCGCTAAGTAACGTGAATCCAGCTGGCTAACTTTAGCTAGCTGCATGCTAACTTCAGCTAGCACTGAACTGCATTTTGACTGTCCACTCGGTCCGTTAAATGTTACTTTTAAATGAACACCGGATTCACAGCCGTCGTAAAGAACCCACCTGAAACCTCGCAACGTCGACAAAATCCCGGGAAATTACATTTTATTCCACTTGGCGATGGATTTGCAAACGGGACAGAGATATGCATTTGGTCACGTTTGTCAACAGACAACTGGGAGGAATCTGCGCATGCGCAATGCTGTCTCGAGGACACGCATCTTTTCACCATTTGTATAATTATCGATTAAAAAAAAAAAAAAGGTGCATAAAGGTTACGGATATGATCGGACCGGCCAGAGCTACGCAGAGGTGAAGTCTTCAATTAGCTCATGATATGTTTTTACTCCAGAAGAGGCCCGTGTTGCTCCATCAAAGAGGAAGCAAACACCAAGATAATGACCTGTCTGTTATTTCCGTTTTTGTTCAAACTGCGTTGTGAGGATCACTTTGCTCGTGTGAGAGATTATTTTTCTTTGAAAAAAGAATTGCCATCCTTCTGTAATAAGCTCCACGTTCATAGGTTAGTCGTTGACCTTTAAATAATCCAAACAGAGAAAGGTAGAATGTCAACACATAAATACATTGCAAACTTAGTTAGCACAACTGTAAACTACAAAAAACTATTTTACATTTTTTTTCAGTCGCTAACAAGCGCTTACCCATACTTCAGATACTTTTTCTAAACTCTTAACACAGACTCACACCTACAAAACACAATTGGCCAAATGGATAATTTTCTTCTCAAAAACACATTTTGTTAAATATATACTAACTCTATTTCAAAATATAACACATTTTTCTCTGCACACACTATCTTTACCAAAACACTGGAAATCTGACTCAAAATGAAATTATTCTGTCAAAGAATGACACTTGTTTTCACTTCACAAAGTACATGCAGTCAATCAAAGTACACCAGGTTTCAAAATACTGCCTATTGTTGACATTACAAAAACTACATAGACTTTTATGTTTCAGTTTTACAGGTATTTGCATGCAAAACATGCAATCCACCGTTTTTACTCTAAATTTCTTGGTTGGTAACTGTATGTCCACAGTAATGTTCACATTCAAAAGCATTCCAGTAAAAAGCAAATCCGTTTTTTTTTCCCTTACTGTTTACTACAGGAGGTACAGTAGAAACACGGTATGATAGAACAGAAAAAGTTTTACAGTATTTCTTACAGTGAACAAAATATCCGTGAAACACACAAGACCATTCTGAACAAAAAAACAACAGCAAAAAGTCCAGATAAAAACTGGGGGAACTAAAAAAAAAAAAAAGCACAACATTGCTGTATCTAATCTCTGCGATCTTCAGGGTTAGGCCTGGTCAACATCCTGAACCGTGATGTCCCTGCAGCCAGCATCCATGGCTTCAAGGAGGGACATCTGGTCATGTGGCTGATGGTCATAAACCTTCCACCTCCATGCTGAAAAGAACTCCTCTATGGGGTTGAGGAAAGGTGAATAGGGTGGAAGGAAGAGACTTACCAGTCTTGGGTGAACTTCAAACCATGTTGTTATTGCTTGCGCATGATGGAAAGCCACATTGTCCCAGGTAATTACAAAGGTCCTCATGTTTTCACCCTCCCAATCCTGCTCTGGAACCAGGCGCTGGTGGAGATCATTGAGAAAGGCAAGGATGCGCTCAGTATTAGGGTCCAACCTGACATCTGTGAAGGAGTAATCCTGCATTTGCAATTGCTGCACACATGGTAATGTTTGCCCCTCTCTGTCCTGGCACATCAACTGTGGCCCTTTTTTCCAATTACATTTCGTCCACGTCGACGCCTTTTGGCCAGATTGAATCCTGCCTCATCTATGTAAATGAATTCATGAGGGGCCTGGTTGGTCTCCAATTCCAAAACTCTCTGAAACAAAGTTTATGTAAATCATGTCATTACTGTAATCCATACTGTACTGTAACCTATTACTGTGTAGGTTACCTACTTGCAAAGTGCAAAGCTTATAGAACTGGACATTGAATTGAATATACACTATACCTGGACATATTGTCGTCGTAGCTCCTTGACTCTCTCACTGTTCCTCTCAAAGGGAACAGTGTAGAGCTGCTTCATCCGCACTCTGTGTTTGGACAATGTCCGCGTAATGGTTGTGAGGCTGATGCTATCGATGTTATCAAACATCTCTTGGTCCTCCACAATTCTAGTCTGAATTTCACGCAGTTTTATTGCATTGTTTGCAACAACTATTTCTACAATGGCAAGCTCTTGATCATTATTGAGGAGCTTTCCTCTTCCCCCAGAGGGTGGAAGACGTTGCATTCTTTAGAGGGACAAAAAAATTAAACATATGCATTACTGTATGACCTTATTGACATGTCAAGTGAGAATAGAAACAATCCATGTAAAATGCAATACTTACCTGTTGGTTTGTTGAAATGGAAGCAACCGTTGACCGCCTCAAATTGGGCTGCACTCTTTCACCAGCCTCTCTTAGTGAAAGACCGTGGTTGATTACATGGTCAATGATAGTGGCACGAATTTCATCACTGACTACTGTTCTTGGAGCCCTTGGAATGCCACCACCACGCATTCTTACACCTCTACCTTGCCCTCTCCTTGGGCCTGCTCCTCTCCCTGGTCCTGCTCCTCTCCCTGGTCCTGCTCCTCTCACTGGTCCTGCTCCTCTGGGCCCCTTGCTCTTACTCTTCTTCGTCCAGACATTACAGTGTCTTTTTCTGTTTCTGTTTCCAAACACATCACTCCTCAAAGTCCTCCTTTTATATATGTGTCAATGTAACAGAAGAAAAAAACCCTGCCACTAAGCCAGACTGGAATCAGCTGTGGTTGGCCCAATTTACCCAACATAAATCAGCTGTGTGTCAATTATTTGAATGTTTGTTTATTATCAGCCAAGATATGTTGTTTTCAAACTGATATCATTGCAGAAACAGAGGTTTTTATACTGTATCTAAGGTTTGGAATATTGTTTTTGCTATTGTGGGATGTTGTGTGTTAACATTCGTAAATACTACAAAAATAATCCATAGTTTTGTTGGGAGGTATAGCTTGTCTGTTAAGAAAATTTAAGCATTGTGGAAATGTGTTCACTGACTGCGTATTGTGTGAAAATGACATGAAATGTGTGAGTGGTATGGCCACAAAAGACCGATGCTGTGCTAACTGTGTTTAGAGTTTTGAAAATGTGACAACTGATTGGACAAACGCTTGTTAGCGACTGAAAAAAAACTGTAAATTGCATATAAATGCAAGCATTTTTTTATACTTGCCCCTGGGGGAACTAAAGTCTGACATTTTTTAATCTACACATCAGCGTTAAATCTGTATTACTTTATTTCTATAACTAGGGGCAGCAACAAATAAGCACGACATATTATCCACTTCTTTTTGGAAAACATTAGCATTCCTTTAAGCTGATGATACACGGTGCAATTTTTTGAGCAATGTTGCTGGTGGCAAGTCCGACTAGCGCCGGTGCGGGGCCGGTGGCAGAGTGGTGGGGGAAGGGGATTATGGTGGTAATCTTTACTCATGAGCAGTGACAACAACATTGCCCAGCACCATAGCTCTAAATGTTGCTCAGTGCATCATCTGCTTTAGTATCGTGCGTCTGGCCAGCTGGAATGTGTGCTCTCCTTTTAGCTCTGGTTTGGTCTCCTCCAACTGCTGAGAAAAGTCTGCAAAACATTCCACTGCGTTCACCTGCCAGTCACTGTCTTTCTTTTGGTCTGTCTGTCTGTCGTTTGGGGCAGAGATTTGTTGAGGCAAACATGAGCTGGGAAGCCCCATTAGCCGCCTCTCCTCCCGCTCTCTGCAGACTATTGTGTCTTATCTTACCAGTTGCCTCCAAGCGGCCATCAGGTACATCCCACACAGCAGACTACACATGTCAGCTTCCTTATATCAGAGACATTATTGCACACTAATTTGATCATACGCACGCTTATTTAGGAATGTGTACCAAGGGTTAGGCTTAGTTCTTACTTTTTCTATGTACATTTATATTTTGTTAGAGGACTCGCTGCACAGGGCGTTAACATTAAGTAATAATCACCAACCAGGCTCATCATTTCTGTTGACATTCCAATTTAGAGGCACCTATTTCCAGCACTTGTGCACAGTGAACCTGGGGCCTTTGGGGCCCCTCAAGGTCTGGGATCTCAGGGAAGTTGACCATTTTGCCTGGTTGGTAATCGAATAGTGGTACAGATTAGTGTTGTAGTACTCAGACGTCTTTGTGATGGTCTCGGCCTCGTCTCGGACTCGACCGCATTTGTACTCGGTCTTGTCTCGGTCTCGGACACTGAGGACTCGGGATTTTAAGTCAAGACCATAACTTTGGGAATATCAATAACTTGCTTTTGCATCGTCTGATTTATTTGTTAACATCCGAACTTTGATTGGATGCAAAACTTATTGCTTCAAATGCAACCAGTAAGCCTAATAAAAATATGTTGTTACCGTTAAGGACTGTCACCCCTCCCTGCGATGCTGACGTTGATTTCAGCTCTCAGTGTTTGTATGTGGGTGCTTTAATAGGAATGTGGATCTTTCAGATCAATTTGAGAAGTACCCAGATGTCATTCCACCTTTTATTGTGTGTCATGTAATGTGGGGAACTGGTCTCGGTCTTGACTTGGTCTCAGCCCCTAAAAGTCATGGTCTTGTCTCTGTCTTGATAAGCTCTGGTCTTGGTCTTGACGTGGTCTCGTTTTGGGCGGTCTGACTACAACACTAGTACAGAAAATGAACCAATCAATGGCCTTGTTGAAAGGGTTGATTAGTGTGGACTACAATATAGAATATAGAATAGTCCATTTTTCTCATTGCTTTCTAGTCAGAAACAAGCTTTGCAATATTTGCCAGTTTATACATTTCAAAACTATTTAAAGTCTGCTTGCTGACACACATGCGCATAGAAACTGTCACCTTATCTCTCCAGTGACTTTAAAGAGACCCTGTGGGACGTTTTAATGTCTGGATTACCTAGTTTTACTCCTCTTAGCCTTTAAGGCTCTTTGTAGGCTTCACAAACGACCCCCCCCCACACACACACACACTCCTCACACGCTGCAGACTATTTACATATGTTTATGTACAAATGCAAAACCACACGAGTGGTATGATGTGTTATCTACAACTCTAAAAATATCTACGTCTATGGTCCTCTGTGTCCCTGTGAAGCCAAAGATTATCATACTGTTGGGTAAAGAGCCTTAAAGACTAAGAATAGTAAGTCAGGCTAAATCCATATAGTAAAAGATCCTATAAGGTCTCCATGAGGTGAGTGTTGACAGAGCATGTTTGTCTGTATTCTTGTTTAGGGTAAAATCAAGAGTTAAGCTCATAAATAAAAAACATAACTAAAACAGTACATTTCCATGACTCATCGATTCCCCTTTCTTTCCATTTTCACTCGACTCTAATTCCACTGCAGTTATCATCCTCTCCTGCATTTCTGTTCCTTATCGCTGCCGTAGTTTTTTGTCTTTATCTCTCACATTCAGACGACCTCTGAAAACAATAGTACAGATAAAAAAACACATTGAAGCAGTTACTTCAATACATACATCACAGATGTATTCTGAGTTTTAAACTGGTCACACCGTGATAAGAGAAGGTTAAGAGGATTACAGACAATAATAAAGCTGTGATTACTGTATATACATGCACTGATCTCTGTTGACATCAAGACGTGCTAAAATATCACCATCATTTGGCCCAACGTAGGGAGAGTTTGCACACAGTTTGGTGTTTAGCAGGCTTTTTAAAAACAGAACGAATTCAGCTCGAGTTTGGAGACAAAAGTCGACAAAAAGTTTGACTTAAAGCGTAGACAACCCCCCAAAATATCATCAGTACATTTCAAGGATTGAGATCGTTTGCTCTGAATTCACTGATGATGAGACAAACCACCAAATGTTATTGGATGTATAAAATGCTGACATTTTTATGTTGCAGTTCTTACGGCAAAATAGCCATCGGAGAAGTAAGTATGTCAGAATGAACTCATCACCATCTCCATCACTGCCCACAACATCTTGACCACCCAGCCAGATTCCAGCCAGACCAGGACGAGGGGGAAGAGAACCGGGAGAAGAGCTCAACCAACCAGCTTGGACCTAAGGCTGCTCCACTAACCAGCCTACTCCTGGCTAGTCACAGGAAACAGGAATGGACGAAGGCCAACACAGCAACTGGAAATCAGAAACAGCAGGACCCAAATCTTCACACAACATCCCAGATCAAGCTATTGCATTTGACGAGGAACAGCAAAACCAGGGGAGCGGATTCTGTGTTCACATCAATGATGCTCCGTGCTCAACCGTAGTCAGAGTTGAAGGACAATGTTTCAAAACAGCAAGCCTGGTTCTGTCCAGATTTTTTAAAAATCCATCACCGTGAGGTTGCCAGGCAATCAGTGAAGACTTCAGAGACCTACTGTGTCTGGACAAGAAATAGTCCAGCACATAAGTCCCTGTAAAACCACATCTTATCATTCTTCAGCCTTTGTTCAGATTGAATAAGAAACGTGTTAATCAGTGAACAGTAGAGAAGTTGGTAGGTGTATTTTTGAACTTTGGACCGAGCCAGGCTAGCCGTTTCTCCCTGCCTCCAGTCTTTATGCTAAGCTAAGCTAACCACCTGCTCCTGTATATTTAGCGTACCGACTTGAGAGTGGTATTGATCTTCTTATTTCACTAACAGCAAGAAATTGAATAAGCATCTTTCCAAAAATGTGAAAGTGTTCCTTTAACAGGATGGTGTAACTGAAGATGAATCAAACAGCTGTTTGTTATTGCCTTCTTGTAACAATTGGCATGCTGAACTGGTAACAGTGAAATACAGAAACAGTGAAGACATTTTTGGAAAACTATTTAAAAATAATATCACACGAGAGAAGATAAGTATTACGTGTTGCTACAGAGTGATTCAACTGATTGCTATTAATCTCTGAACATGTATTACTGGATCCTGATCCACAGTTACACTGAAGGCAAACGTAGCTTCATACAGTTTGGGTGAGTCAGTTTGTGAACTCCGTGCAGCAGTTCCCAGATGGAAAAAACAATTAAGAGGAAAGACTTCAGACTCTCTTCAGCCATGACATGTGGCTGTGTCCTCACGCTCTGTAGAAGTAGAAGACCAAAGAAAAAAAAGAAACCGTGGTGAAATGAAGGATTTGATGGAAGATTGGGCTACATCTCCAAGCAGTCACCTGTTGGCAGGTCCCACAACCGGAGATTATCCTCAGTCTCAGGCTCAGATAGGTCAAAAACGCAATGCAGCACGATACTGTCACCCAGTGTCCAATCATCTGTCATGAAAATAAACACTGTATATTATGAAATCAGGGATTCTTGTCCTGCTGTTCAATGAACCAATCACCAGGCCCGATGTCCAGCTGGAGCTGCTCCAACACCCAGGGGTCCTTCTCAGCCCCCTCAATAAATTCCTCCAAAGAAATCTGACCTGGACAATTCAGAAGAACACACAGTCAGCGTCTTTAAATGAATCCAAGCAGTTTATATTCACCAAAAGTAGCTACATTAACAGCAAAAACAAGAAAAGAGCACAAGAGAAGAGGACTTGTGTTGCCACCATATTAACGTGGGCGTAATCATCAACTTACTGTCATTATTCTTGTCCACCAGTTCAAATATTCTGTCACAAATATCTTCGATGCTCCCTGTGATGCTCGGATCTTTATGCTTCTTTATTTTGTAGATGATCTGAGCGGAAAAAAGACAAAGAAACAAGCTTTTGCCAGAACACACAATCATGAGAGATTTTCTTTGTTAGAGTTTTTGAGTTTTAAAGTTGGCGGTGCACATTTATAAAATAAAGTGATCAAGCAGATCAGCTGAGCTTTTAAGTAATCTTACTTAAACTTAAACATTGAGTCATGTTTATTTATTTTTGTGAAATATTTACTTCAGAATTAAAAGCAAGTTTTCTGCTCTGTAGTGACTTCAAGGTTGAGTGTGTGGGTTTTGGTGACATCTAGTGGTGAGGGTTGCAAATTGCAACCAGCGACTCACGGTGGACCATACTGTGTCCAGTCCAATCCTTCCAAATATTCAGAAGTAACTGCTTCAAATAATATTACAATAATTCAAATATATAATTGAATGTTTAGAATCATAAAAACATTAATGAATACTTACTTTGACAATGTGTTTCACTTCCTGTCTATCCAGACAGCCATTTCCATCTCTGTCATAAACTTTAAAGGACCACTTCAGTTTGTCCTCGAGTTTTCCACGAAGAACAAGATGCAGCGCCGCCACATATTCCAAGAAGTCTATTTTACCGTCCTAAGATGGAAGGATCGGTCAGTCACACTGCCTTCCAACAAGGACTGATTTAAAGCAATAACGAGGCAAATAGTGACAAATAGTGCAGCTTGTTTTACTTATTTCTAGATTCATATATGCAAAGATACATTACCTTGTTTGTGTCAAATGACTGAAAAACAATTTCCACATATGCAGCTTCTTCTTCCGTAGAGTTTCTGTTGATTCCAAAGATCTTCTTGAATTCATGCAAGTGCAGATTTCCACTTGGACATTCACTTGCAAACTTACGGTATAATTCCTGGATGTTTTGAAGAGTCACTTCCTTATCTGCACCACTCTGTGCTTGACCCATCATTTTAAATACAAAGAAGCAAAAAATGAAGATGCTAAAATAATATTTTAAAAACCTACAGAGAAGTTGTCAAGCACATTCAGCGCAGCGCACGAGCCATGGACCCAGCAGAATACTGTGTGGGCTATTTCAAGGCAACATGCTCGACAAATCCAATTTACTTCTCAGTGGTCCTCCAAGATCCGTCTCGACAATTCTCTTTCTTCTTCAATATTTGTTTTTCTTCAAATCTGACAAAGCCCCCTCCACGTTGCTTTGGAGAAAATAGTGCATCTCTCACAACTACTAATGAATTTGCTCGTGAGTAGCGGTTCGTTTGGCCGTTTGACAGCAAAGAGTGGACTGCCCCCGTAAACAAAAGGCCAGAGCTCTCAGAGAGATTAAATGACGTCAAAGCCTTAGTGTGGTCTTGGTGAAACTATTGATCCACTGAGCTTTGTCTGAGCACTGTTAACCAACCATGAGATGACTGCTGAATGTAGAATAAATATTAAAACACACAAAAGCCCCAATCTGAACCAGATTTGATCACATACAGTAAATAAGAACGCAACTGTAGAGTTTGTGTAACAGATCTGGATTTTGCGAGTTTTCCTTGTGTATCTGAATTTTATCAGAAAACATTAAGAATATTCAAACATCTGAGAAAAGTTTGATTTGTGACCTTAGAAAAAAGATACAATTATCAGGCAGAGTATAACGGAAAAACAGATCAGGGACGTGCGGTCCCGGTCTTTTAACAGCGCAATTGAGGATTTCTGTGCTCCAGAATCTTAATTATTATAGTCAGACAGAGTACGTGTTAAAAGAACTTGTTGTTTTAGTTAAATGATGTGATCCAGCTCAACTACACACAGTGTGATCTGAGAAAAAATAAAACTAATCTAAATTAATTACTATTATTTTTTTGTGTGTATGTGGAAATGGATGGTGTTGTTTACAGGTTTCACTTTCCTCAATATCTGTATACTGTGTAGATGTCAAGGCAAGTAGGATACTTCAAAATCACTGGAGTATGACTAAATAGAGCCTTTAATAGGCTGTAGTTGTTAAGCCTGTCTTACTACACCGTAACCCAGCACAGGGGTCACTACTGTACCTGATATGGTGAAAGACACATGCAAGGTCCTGCATCATGTCTTGAAAAAAGAGGTTCTTATGGTTAGAATTCCCTCACAAACATAGACATCATGACACACAATGCAGAAAGTGAAGATGTGGTGGGATGATTCTTTATCAGGAGAAGTGATGCTGGTCAGTCAGGGGCATGGAGGAGTGTTGGGGGGGACATCTTGAGAAGTGTAATTGGTCAATGTACATGTTTTTTTAACTTGCATGCTCTCATATTTACAGGCACCAAAATCAGAGGAGGAACTGTGAGTAATTGCCATGGAGTTAATGGAGAAATGGTAATTCCCACATTGCCTGGGCGCCTTTGACAGGAGCTAGTCTGCATCCAGCTCGCGGCCCACAGTGGCAGCACATGGCACAGTCACTGGTGGGCTCATCACCTCCAAAGTCAACAAGTCCCTGCAGCCCGTCCTCACCAGTTAAACGACCATGAAGGGCGTTTGTTCAAGCACGTTATTACGACCCGTATTTACGTTTATTGTAGCTCCGACCTCTAGTGGCCGTACAACGGTAGCAAAGGAGGAAGTTGGGTTGATGGATAGTTTAAACCAAAGACTTTTACACAGGAGAGCAGCATTCAAGCCATCAAACCAAGAAAATGTTTAAATGTGAGTTATTTGGAGTTTGAAGTGAAATAGCGATACTGACTTCTGTCACATGATTTGAGTCACGTGACTTATGTAACGTACTAACTGAAACCCAAACCACAATGTTTTCCTAAAGCTAACCAAGTAGTTTCGTTGCTTCAATCAAACCAAAGTGCACTCATCCATCTGTCTGTACTGCAAAAGAAACACTGGGACAAAGTTGTGAAATAGTTTTATCTTTGCCTTTAGTAGGTGCAGTTTCAACTATTATACAATGACCTCAAAACATTTTTCTCAAGAAAGGAAATTCTTCCCCTGTTTTCCTTATCAAACAGGGAAATACAGCCACAGACGTTTCTCTCTTTCACCGAACTAAGTTCCTTGTTAACTCATCTTAAAACAGACTTCATTCAAACTCCACAGAAACAAAATAAAACTCACCAGAACTGTCAAGGTTATTCTTTCCACGGTTCCAACACTCACCAGCTCTGATTGGGTGGGAAAAAAACAGAGTTGACAGAGCTAGAAATATTCTGGTTCTACACTCCTCTCACTCCTTTCCTGTCCCCGCCTGAACCCACCTGACTCCGGAGTCACAGTCCTGGTCGGAGCTGCCTTAAACTACCTCGTACTATATTCCCTGCTGTCAAACTGGCCTCCGTCGGTCTGTGTTCAGTTACGGTGCAGCCGTGATCACCGGAAGGCCAGTCAGCCAATAAGACTGCTAATTGCGCTGCATGGCTAACTGAGCTAACTAGCTAACGGCGGTCAGCCGCAGTTCTGGCCTGATATGAGATGTGCTACCCCCTATTTTTTGGACTTTGAATTCAACGGGTGGAGAGTGGTCTCACATGTAAAGCCCCTTTGATTTGTAGGATTTGCACATTTCTGACTTTTGTGACAACAAGTGGCAGAATCAGGAAAGACACTGGGTCTAAAAGTTTTTCAAGAAATAATTCAGTTTAATAACAAAATTAATGCACATGTGAAACAGATATAGCATGACTTTTAACTTTCACCTGAAACATTTTCTTCTGACAAAAGTATAAATAAATAAAACTGTAATATTCTGCCTTGTTGTTTTAGGGTCCTTGGTAATATAGCCAAGAAGAAAACACAAAATTGCAGGAATATCTGGGCTGATGTACAGTAATCTAAATATTTCTTGAACATGTCGTTTGTTAGTTCAGTGTTATTGCTGAAGTTTCACGGTTTACTAATCAAATAGTCTTTGGTGACATAAGCTCACTTAAGGGTGTGTAATATTTAGGAGGATCTATTGACAGAAATGCAATATATTTTCTATATTTATACTATATTTTCAGTGGTGTATAAAGACCTCACATAATGAACCTTAGAATGAGTCATTTCTATCTACAGGGTCATCTTACATGGACGTCACCATGTTAGGATGTACAAAGGCAGAAAGAAGAAGAACAAGTAACGTTACTAGTTGTAATAGAGTGGTCGACTAGTTTATTAGAAGTAAGAAAATAAGTGAAATTTAGACAAATGGCGGGCCACATGTATTATTTTGCACAACAGCCGACGGTGCCTTCATGAGGTGAAGTAGTAGAGTGAAATAGATGACTGCGTGTTGTTTATACGCTCGGAAAATGTTAATCTAACACATCTTGGTAGTAGCATCCATGTTGATTCCACAATCAGACTTAAGAGCACTCTAAAACACACTCTGAAGTCGGAAGAACTTCACAACTCGGGAAATGAGACCATCTGAGGAGCACATGAAAGCACCGTAGGCCACTGGTTGCAGTTTGCAATCCTCGCCACTAGATGTCACTAAAACTTACACACTGAACCTTTATGGGTGAAGAGTCCATCACTTCACTCTGCAGTAACTGTCAGCTCCTAGTTTTGGTTTTTCAGCAAACAACACCAAATGTTTTGGGTTAGTCCCAACGCATTCATCAGACCTGTTTCCAGCAGCAAGCAGATGTTTTTAGCAAAAAGATAAACCTAATAAACAAACTGTAACCAGCCCAGCAACAACTATTGTTGGATATGTGTTGCTGGGCTGGTTAGAGTTTGCGGAGTCAAAACTAGAGTTAAAAGAAGTCAGTATTAAACTTTTCTATTTGACTAGTTATTTGGTTACTAGGTACACAAATCTTTCCTCCATGTCTGCTGTGAAAAAGTAATCATTATATCTTCTTTATAACAGGCTGCAAACTACATGCCCTATAGATATTACATCTGTTGCATTACTTTAAGTCTTACGTAACAATGTCTAATTGTGTTGTCCCAGTTAAAGGGACCCTGTGGTGTTTTCTTGTGAATAAACATTATGTTTACATTCAATGTGTTACAGTGTCAGCAAGCACTTTGTGTGTATCCTTCAGATACTGTGGATCAGCCCGTTGTGTATGAACCACCACAGCTCTGTTAACAGAACTTTTCACCTCACCAGCTTGATATAGTAGCAAAATATAACGTCATTTTATTTTTTACCAAACCTCTGCAGAGAGAGTATGCTACCAATATATTTGTAACTGTACTATGACTGCAAAACTTAAAAAAATAAAAAATATATATATTATTACTGTATATATTATTAGATTTTGTTTACTTTGCTTTGTTTTTTTGTTTTTTTCAAAATCCACAATGGCCATCAGTCTCAAACTAAAATTAACGCAATAATAATAAATGTAGATACACGGACCCTAACAGATAACTCAAGACCAAATCACCACCACAGGCGTGCAGCATGGACCTTTGGACCCAGCAGGCAAAATCACGGCAGAACTGCAGTCGTGAAAAAGGTCACTGAGCTCCAGCTCCACGTCGCAGGAAGCTCAGCATGGAGACGCCGGCCGAGCTTTGAAGACAGCACCTCTGTGTCAGCCTCAACAAAAACCTGTGGGCGCCGAACCCACTAAGGTGAGAGGTCATGGTAGTTTCCCGCAGTTCTGGATGACCCAGCCGGTGGCGTTGACGTCCAGCTTCAGCAGGTTCATGACCCATTCATCCTTCTGGGCTCCCTCCATGAATTCAGACAAGGTTATCTGACCTGTGGGGCACCGAAACACAATCCACAATGATGACTTCATATTTAACAGAAAATCAAAGAATAACAACGGTAAAACATTTTGATGAGAACTAAAGTGAAATCTACACAATGAACATTTATCGACATGCTTCATATTTAAGTGGTTGTGTGTTTAGGTTGTTTGTGTTGGACTCAGGTGATGATGATCACACAGGACAACTTTAATATTGTTCAACTATTTAATTAAATTAGTGGTTGTTAAAAGTACTTGTTGATATATGTATATAACTTATTTTGAGAAGTGATTAAGTAAGACTTTCCTTCTCTCTACTACTTTTCCATCATAGAATGGATTTTGTTAAGCAGATTGTAGCTAGTATTTTGTTTTTGGAAGTGTACACAAGGTAAATGTTAAAATTCAGGACACTAAGAGTAATCCTCAGTCAACACACGATCACAACATGCTAAAGCACTTCCTTTTTTCCATTTCTTGTTGTCTATCATACTTTGCATATGAACTTACCGTCATCATTCTGATCAACCAGCTCAAAGATT